GGGGGGGGGGGGGGGGGGGGGGGGGGGGGGGGGGGGGGGGGGGGGGGGGGGGGGGGGGGGGGGGGGGGGGGGGGGGGGGGGGGGGGGGGGGGGGGGGGGGGGGGGGGGGGGGGGGGGGGGGGGGGGGGGGGGGGGGGGGGGGGGGGAACATTGCATGTATTGACAAAGCCAATCAAATGAACGAAGGATTCCAACGATCATTACCACTAAACCAAAACGACGTTGATCTAAGCCGTCCATTATCAAACCAGAGATTCAAAATTCAAAATGCCAACAGAATCAGATACAGATTTATCCATACAAACCAGATCAAACACCAGAAACAGAACGAAACAAAAAAAACAAATCAATCACAACCCAACAAACCACAAGTAGCCGCCTAAGATTCAACCCTGTTCCAGAATTTCAAAATTGAGACAATGGGGGAAAAAGGAAATCAAAGAAGAACAGATCGAGAAGCGAAATTAGAAGGAGGAAATGGAAGAGAAAGAGAAAGGGATTACCTGCTGGTGAGTGCCTCTCCTGGGCTTCGTGAAGGGGAATGGAAGAATAAAGGAAAAGACGAGTGGAATTTAGGGGGTGGGTTTGGGTTAGGCTTTGTTGGGTGTTCTTCGATTTTGGGTTTTCGGTAGTTATTCGGAGCAAACGCAATGAACGGATGACAGAGAAGCAAACGCGGAGCAATGGCGGAGAACTTTTCTTCCCTTTCCCCTCTTTGTGGTTTTTTTTTATTTTTTATTTTTTTTTTCTTCCTTTTTTATGAATTTCTAATTTTAAAATAAGTAATTATTGGGAATTGTAAAGCTAAATAGCCAGAAAATTTGTGGTGGATATTTACTTTTTTTCTAATGCTTTTAATTGCTATTTATTTCATTGACTTCTTTGACTTTAATTTTAAAATTATTTTACTCTGTATTTTTTAACTCTAATTATTATAAAATGAGAGCAAAATATTAGTTTTTTTTTTTTTAAGAAAATGAAGGTTAAATAATTAAATATTAAAATTTCACGAAATAATACCGGTCGAGATTTTTGAAATATCTAAATGATAAAAGTAGTTTTTGGTAAAAAACCGTACTTGTATCAACATACTCTCGATCACATTAGGAGTATTCATAGGTTAAGTTAGATCCAGTCAAGACATTTTTTTAGACTCAACTCAATTATTCAAATTGTAATACTTGACTAAAGCCGTCTAAAGAACAAAATTGAAAATTATAAAAGAAACAGAAATAATTGAACAATATAGCAATAACCCCGATAGAAACACCGACCCCCGACAGAAATCTATGTAACAAAATAGCGATATGAATAGTATAACAATTATCGACATTGTTTTAGAATATCGATACTTGTTACACGTCCCAGTTTTCATTCAAAATTTTAGTAAATTTCTATGATTAGGTCGAGGGTAATATTGTAATTTTCAAACGAATGAGAATATTTTCAAACTATTGTAATTTTTAGACAGCCGAAAATACTTTTTAATTAGATTGGTCAAGGGTAATATTGTAATTTTCAAATATATGATAAAATGAGGGATGTATTTTTTATATAATATATATTTTTAACATCTCCAAGTGTGTTGCGATAAAGACTACATATATGTTAAACCCCGTTAGTTCATTCCTCAGTCGGTGGCGCTGCTCTGCTAAACCCCCTGCCTTTCTTCAAGCAATGGCGGAAGAGATAAGTTCCGACTATAGCGATGCCTTTAATCGGCACACCCAGTCTCCTTTGATCGTCTTGAATCAAACGAGTTCTGCCTTCAAGATCTCTGCCGATGACAGGAAGTTCCCTTTGATCGTCTTGAATCAAAACCAGGAGTGTGAAATGATGAACAGTTGGAGTTCCGCTTCTGCCGAAGAGAATCCAGAAATTTCAGAATCTTTTGTCGAGAAGATGGTCATGTGCGATTCGGCTTGTGTGTCTTCTGAAAACGGAGTAAACATGAGGAATCAGGTGTGCAAGATTCGGAATCTTGATGTGGAACTCAGAAAAGAATCTCTCAAGGTTGACGCTGCACACGATTCTGAAACGCTCGGCGCCGTGGAAGATGTTAATCAAGAAGTTGCGATTGATAGAGTAGAGGAGAAAGATTTTGCAAGAAGTGTACTGAGTTTTGATGGAAATCAAGATTGTATGAAGGAAGAACTTGTTCAAGAAGTTCGATCAATCGAGAAGTTGCTGGATAAAGAAATCGATTCTCGGAGCATCTTGGAAAAGAAAAAGAAATTACTATCGGAAGAAGATGAAATTCATGTAGAGAAGGGAAAAAATCCCTCTAGCTCAGGAGGGATCGTGGATCAGAAGATTGCCGATCAGCAAAATGATTCTAAACACATGAATTTCCTCAGACGAAGTCATTTATCTCTCAGAAATTCATTGAAGATTGAAGTAATAGACGAGACTGCATTAGTTGAACCAGTTCATGTTTCCAAGATCGGAAACGGAGAAGGGATTGGTATTGTTTGTCCAACAAGGCCAATGCAGATCAAATTGGACAAATCCCACGAACCTGATAGAGGGGGGAAAAAGGCTAAAAGATCGAGGAGGAGGGCAAGGGAAGCCAAGGTTTCTGAGATGCATTGGAGCCTGGGGAATGTGAATGAACATCAAAAGAATGTGGAAGGAAACAAGATAGTGTATTCCATGAAGGATATGGAAGCACTGAGGTTTGTGAATGTTGCAGAACAGAGGAGACTGTGGAAAGCCATATGTAAGGAGCTTTTGCCGGCTGTGGCAAGGGAATACAGTAGCTTAACAAGCTCGAATTACCCTATGAAGATAGGCTCCACCTCTGATCCTAGGCAGCATTTGGTGAAGAGAGAAGAAGCCCCTTCAATTATGAGTAAGTAATTCTATTTATGAATGAATGATGGGTCTATAACTGAGTTGCTTATGAAGTTTGGTATTGAATTTTCTCTCTGAGAAATATGAAGTTTGTTTATGAATGGTTGCTTAGGGTTCTTTAGATTTTGAAGTTCTTTAGATTCTGATGAGTCTTTTGAGTTGAAGATTCTGAGCACCAACTTGGTCATATTTTTTCCTTGAAAACGAATGCTCTTAATAATTTGTTGTCATGGGTTTTTGGTTTTGATTGTGTCATTTTGATGGTTTGAATGTCTCTTGTGCACAGGTGTTGTTGCTGCAAGGGGAAGATGGAATCATATGAATATTTTTGTGCATTGAAGAAGGGTCTAAATCAATCCAACTAAAGACATTTTGTGCATCAAAATCAACATGTTTTGACGGTACAAATATACAGATTACATGAAATTTCTGTTCCTTTTTGTATAGAAATGATTACAGTCGCATTCTTTTGTACATGCTGCAAGCTCAATAATATGGTGCTGAATAATATGAAAGAAATCAATTCTTTTTGACTAGTTTGTGTAGTGATTTTGTTCTCTCTTTATTTAAACTATCGGTTTTGTTAGTTCATAAGTTTATGAGTTCACTAAAGTTGAACTTGGTTTAGTGAACTCAACTCAAGTTGAACTTGGTAAAATGAAATGGTTGAATAATTAAAAAATGAGATTATTTAGGAATATACATTGAATGCTAAGATTATACATATTGCCTACTAAGATTATGCATTGAGTTTCTAGTAGTAGATCCATAATCAAAAAAGTGTTTGTGATCGTTCCAAAAGAAATGAAACAAAAGATACAGTAGAGTTATGATAGTTATTGTATGAGGTCTACCCAATTCTAGATGCAGATGTACCTAATAGATCGAGATGAACATCATGAGTTGTCCCGTAATAAAACTTGTTGTTGCTGATACTTTCTTCTCGATTTCATGTTCAAATCTTGTAGCGTCGAAACCCTCTTGCAGTCATAGTGTAAGTGAAGATGGCGATGATAATAAATATTACATTCCTAACCTTATTTTAAATGGAGACCTTCCACTATATATATATATATATATATATATATATATCAATCTCTGCCTCCCAACAAATTGGGGGAAGAAATGCAAATTAGTAACCCATAAAAATCTGACCATATCCTTTCATCATTAATGTAAATACAAAGAATGACACCAAGAATTTTGAAAATTAGCAACTATAGAATGTTCAACTACAACTCACAATTACTCTTTACACAAATGAAATATCAAAACCCAAAAAGAAAAATGCAAAAAAGAGTTTATGTTTGTTTCTTAGTTCTTTAGCTTTCCTTCATTTTTTTTTTCTTTTTTTGGGATAACATAGTCCTCATCATTACCAACTGCGAGAGTGTTATCTACTCTCGCCATCTGAACAAAAATTGGGCCTCCAAGCAAGAGTGGTTTACAACTTACAAGTTCACCTTCCAACGGATTTATAACCTCCCTGCTCAAACGGGAACACGTCTACCCCGATATTTGTCGACGAACTGCAATATATATAAAAAAAAACACATAAATCTGCAGTCCAGAAAAATTCATGATGTGTAGTAATCGGAATTCAAACAAAAACTTGAACAATGCTGACTGATTTGGACCAATGGAGATTTAACTAGTCCATGAAAGTAAATACAAATGCAAACTAAGAACTTAGTACGGCATGATGCAACTAATATGTTAACTATTAGTATAGCATTTGGAATCATTGCATACACCAGGGAAGAAGTATTGGCCATGATGAGACTGATAGAAACTTGGCTAGAACTCCATTGTGGAATGGGAAGAAGATAACCTTAACCTTACATCATCACCTATACCTATACTCCCTGTGAGGAGCGTGCGTGCGCACACACTATGTTTATAAAATTTGTGTATGAAATGGACTCCATTAAAACATGCGCTACTACCACCCATCTAATCCTTCACACTTGAACATAGCACTTCTAATAGAGACCTCTGGCATCCTTACAGCTATTTTCTGGAATCAAAGCTTCTAGTCGCCGTAATGATAGCCCAAATATTACAAAATTAAGGTATTTTGTGAGACCCCAATGCCCCCACCTTACATTATCACCTAAAAATTCGTTGTCCCCAAAAATTTTCTCTTTTAACCACTTTTGTTCTTTTGCCCTTCATCAATCATCCTCCACCCATTAGCTAAAACTGCTTGTTGCAAGAAACCAAGCACACCTTCAATTGACATTCCTCCCCTTCTTACCCTTGTTCAACTTTCCCTCTTTGATATTCCAGTTGTATTGGGGGGCTTATCATTGCCTTGTATATAAGAGGTTGCCTTTGTAGTCATTTCCACTTCATCTTTCCCGTAAATTTTGTTTTTCAAAAAAAAACAAAAACATGAAAGGAAAGACAATTGGAGCAAATTTCTTTCTGTGCTTTTCTTAAAATATGTTGTAATGCAACTCCATTGAAAATAATGGGACTCCATATGAAACAATTAGTTTTTTCTTTAAAGAAAAGGATCATAAAGGGGAAACATTTTCACTATGTGTAAAACTGATTCAAACAACTGATTAAAATTACTAAAGAAGTACAAACTAACCGATCTGACAAATGGTTGCTGGAATAACCATCCAAGAATAGGAATTTTCTGAATAAAGACTGCCAATGTTGGCCAGAAGCCACTGCACAGCATAATTTATCAGCATTTAGCGCGACCAAACATTAAAAAGACATATACACACAGATCAAATTATAGACAATGGCCATATATATCCAACAAACCTGAAAAGGACAATGAAACCATATGTTTCCAATATCATGCCAAAAATTGGCCATCCTATGATAACAAAGAAGAACCCTAAACCAAAAGAAATTGTTCCCTGCACAAATAATGATACATACATCGTCAATCAGAAATGCATGCACATCAAAATTCAAAGAACAGGCATGAGGGAAAAGTCTCTCAAGCATGTCTAACCTTAAAATTTTGACGTTTCATAAAGAACTGCATGGTTGACTTGAGTCCAATGGTGAGAGTTACTCCTGAGACGAACAGGATCTGGTTCAGTGAATCAAAAAAGAGACGTGGTGTTAAGAGTTTACATTGGAATGAAACAAGAATTATAGATCTTAACATGCGAAAAATATAAATTCTACACTTACATTTCCCATAGCAAGTAATCCCTTGTCAAAGAAGAAGATAATTCCCAAGATTGAGAAAAATATCCCAAATCCTGTAAGTCCTAGCCCAATCTCTGCTTATTTGCAAATTCATCATTAATGCCAGTACGAATGAACAATTCATATAGAAACAGAACAATTAGAAAAAAAATCCATAGATGCCCTCCTTTATACATGAACATTGCCAAAGTAGACGCACAAAATCCAACAAAATATGCAGCACAGAATATGTGCCTAAGACTCTAAACAACCTAGGACTGACAAATGCGCACTAATCTTAGAGAATGAGCATGACCATAATGCAATTTCAGCACATTCCAGTTCCAAGAATGCAAGCAAAGACGAGAAACAAAAATACTAGATTAACGTCATTGCATCGCCATTAATTACCACAGCGCGATTCACCATATTCAACCCCATAAAACCAACCGAACACTCTGTTCCAATATTCCAATATCAATTAACAAACAGAATAAAACAATAAGATTGTAATCGTCAAGTAGCTTAATCCAAAACCAACAGCTAATTGCCTCAAAGGAGAAACCGATCCACTAAACAGGATATAATATATTCCAGCAAAAAAAGAAATATGCATAAGAGAAATTAAACATTAAACTCACTCTTGCGGTCATTCATTTCGAAGGAAACCATATCTGCTGAACAATATAAATTCACCTCCCTGCCTTCACTGCAAAAAATTTCAAACGAAATAAAAAAACTAGTTGATCAATTAATCTAACAAGCAAAACAGCTCCAATCGACAAAATCCTAGGGTTAGCGTATCAAATTGAGAAAAGTCGAACAAGATCTAGAAGAAGCTCAACCAATCAATCGGCCAGGGTAACAAAGAACTAGGTTTCGACAATGAATCTAGGAAAAACCTAGAACATAAGAGATAAATAGAAAGTGAGAGAGAGATAAGGAGATTTACATGTATGAAATCAGTTAGAGCAAAAGAGAGAGCGCCAAATTGCAGGGCCGTGATGCTTGAACAAGAAGAACGGGATCAAAAGAAGTAGAAACGAAGAATTGAAGGTGTATGGATCTTTGATGACGAGTTTGGGGAACGATGTTCGAGTCGTTGAAAGGAGAAAGAGAGAAGAACCTGAAGTGCAGACAGAAATGGCTGAACTCTAACACGACGAGGAGAGCAATGCAGGCACGTGCCACTGCCACAATTCGATGCGCTACTCTTATATATATATTAAAAAAATTAAATAAAATTAAAAAAAAAAAAATTGTAAACTTGGAGTGGAAGGAAATGATGGTTTGTAACCAATGAAAAAGCGAGTATTGCTACCCTTTGAATAATAAAGTAGACGAGCGAATTCGATTGAGCTCTCTAGTATGATTTTGCACCGGGTTTGGTTTACACACCAAATGGCACAAGTGTTCCCTCGACACAAAAAAGCTTGTTAACGTGTTTGCGAGTCGTTTGATATTTAAGCTTATTTGGGCAGGAAAATCGAATTCGATTGAGCTCCTTAGCACAATTTTACACCAGGTTTGGTTTAGGCTGCAAAAGGGCATAAGCGCTCCCCCGACATGAAAAGCTTGTAAACGTGTTCACTATTCACCGGTTGTTTGATATTTAGGTATCGACAATAATCCTTCCCATATTTACCTACAAAAAAAAAAAAAAAAAAAAAAAAAAAAAAAAAAAAAAAAAAA